CGAGATCGACTCCAACATGACACAGCGTCGTCGCGGCCGACGCGGGCCGACGTCCTGAGCTAAGATCGATGTGAAAACCCCATCGATGGACGACAACGCCTTGATCGGGAACCCAGCAATTGATAAGGTCACGAGCACGAACGCCGCGGAAGCTACGCGCATACCGCCACGGGAATGAGTCCCAGGACCCCTGGTTTGGGAGTTTTTGAGTAGTATGTATTTGAGTATTTATATAGTCCCGACAAAAAGACCTTTGGTGACTCGGATGTCCATGAAGCACCCAAGCGCGTGAGATGTGTGGTATGTGTCCGGAAGTTTCCAATTAAGCGTACACGTCCAGTTCAATCTGAACCGAGTCCTATAGCCTTCCTCCAAACATGTTTCACACAGTGACGACCTTGAGACCACCTAGATTGGAGATCACTGCATGCCATGATGAGATAGCTGAAGGGCGGCACGACGCGCCATGACACTGCTCGAATTTGGTGCATCATCACCTCGAGTCGGTCCTACAGGTGATGGATGAAGACCTGCAGCACCACCTGCAGAGCTGCTCAGTCTGGTCCTCGCTTTCATGAAACGCCTCAGTCGGGCTTCCCCGCAGCTGCGCGGTCGAAGTGGCCGCCCAAACCGCCATTGACCGAACACGCGAACACATCCTGCTATCGAAGTGGCATCTTGCACCATTTTTCAGCTGCCTGCGGCGTTTGACCCAAATTCTTCGGGTTTGCCTGCGGTCGTGGCCTGTCACGATATGATTTGGTGACCATTCCTCGATCGCTGCCCTTCCGAAGAGGAACCATCGCCCGCCACCTTTCGTCCTTCGGACCAATGCGGTCGTTGAAATTGAGCCCTCAGAGAGACGCGAGGCCTTCGAGACGCAGCTCGCAGTCCTTCATGGCCGCGCTTTCGCGGCGGCCTCGCCGTACGGCCGGCGCCGAGCGAACGACCGCTGGATCCGCGGTCGCTTCGCCACTTCCACGACCCCGTGGTCGACTGGCGGAATTGAGGCTCTGAAAAAGGCAGACAGGTCGAGCCCTTAAGACATGCGTTTGGCAGAACGAGACGCAGAAAGCTGAACGAGGAATGCGAAGACGCGGAGATGCTGAGATCGGAGTTGGATCTGAGAAACGATGCGCATCATTTGGACCTTTTGGGACCCTGAACGTGGGGCCCAAGAGGTTTTTGGAACGGGGCCCGGCCCACGTGGCGGGTCACGACGTCTCGGGACGCCGTCAGGACGGCCGCGGGTCGGTCACTGAACGCTTGCGCGTTCTGTGCACGACGGCGTCCAGGCGGCGTGGGCGGTGGACGTTCGATCTTTCACACGGCTTTTCACATGTCGGTGTTTCACATGTCTCCAATGTTTTCACTCAGTTTTTCTAGGAGCTGAACTGATGTTCAATTGTATATACTTAGCTGTGCTGTTGAATTGCTGAACAGCCCCATGCAATTGATCTCTCACTTACTTATATTGATTTCTCATTCCAATTCAAAACGCCAACATCTTGACAACCACACAATGTAGAATCTGGATTGCTAAACCCCTGCTGAACATCAAGAGGTCTTTCAATCCCAGCTCCGGCCCTTCAGGCTGAAAAGACCTGAAGAGGTCACCGCTCCGTGGTCACCGGTCCGATAAACAGCGACGCTCCGCTCACTGCGACCGTGCCTTTGGCGACCGGTGGACGGGGAATCTTTTGATGAAAAGAAAGCTATTAGTTGAAGAAGTGCATGCTTGTTACTAGCAAGAAGCTATATAGCTATAGTATGCTATAGTAACAAGTGCATTGCTACGAACGTAGCTTCTTGTGACCTGCAGCTAGTAATTATATAGTACTGCCCTTAGTTACGATAGTAGCGATACATCCTTGTGATTCCTGTTGGGATTACAGGAAATCATTGGAAGTAGATCGCACACAATGCGGACCATTTTCCGAATACCAATTGTTTGGTGGTTTTCCATGATGAGATGGATTGATTCATCAAAACTCTGAAAGCTATGACTTGTCTTCGTAACAAGTCTCACACAGACCGTCTCAGACCCTGGGGTTCCCCCAGGTTGGCTGCATGACTTGTCACGCACCCGAGTACTGAAGGGCACCATTTTATCTTCAAAACCCTCCAAACACCGGTGTTTTTGGTTTTGCATTCCATTTCAGGTGACGGGTTCGAGTCAAGGCTCCACTCCACCAGGTATGGGCTCTCCAGCTGTCCCACAAAAACCACCCCAGTCCCATCTTCTGGTCTGGAGCCCAGTCCCTGGGGTTAGACCGGAGAGAACGGTGCGGACTCAAGCTCCAAGGGTCGGTTGAGCTCGGTGCGACTCGACTCAGGGCAACTGCAGAGCGGTGCGTGTTCTGCAGAGTGGACATGTGGCTGCTTCCTCGCAGGCCGGAGAATGTTGCGTGCGGCGCAGGCGGGTGGGAGGAGGTAAGAGTGGGAACTGCAGAAAAAATCTGAAACTCACTTGGGGATGGATCAAACTTGGAGCCCGACTAGTCCATCATTTGCCACGAACGACCGACACCAGGTAGGTTAAGCAAGTCATCCTGGTGCCATTGACCTACAGCCATGACTGAGCGTGTTTGTTGTCCTACATGGTGTGGGTTCGGTACCGGAGTATCTGGGGTTCGTAAGCATGGCCATGGTGTTTCACTCTTGTCCGGACTTTCCACGGATTTTTTCGCGTGCCCATGCGGCGTTCTGCCCCGGCACTTGTAGTCCCGGATCCCAGCTGAGATAGCGTTCGCGGTACAGGCGACGATTCAGCTCTCCTTCCCAGTCCTGAGCCCGGAGCTGGTTGCGAGGAGCTGGTTGGATGCAGGGTGTCCCCACCTTCATCGATTCATGTGGAAAAAACAGAAACCCAACTAGTCGTTTGGTAGAAGCCCAACCTGCCAGGAGACCAGACCGAGATGCGATTGCGAGAGGAATTCAACCTCGTGCCGAGATCACATTTCGAGTGGAATCGAAGCCAGGCTGGTACAGGGGCATACCAGTTTTTATCAGTTTGTGTTCTATTTTGCTGGTGTGAAGTGCAGAGATGTGCAAAGGTACTAGGCTGAACTACCATGCAGTTCATACTATATACATACATGCACAGGCAGGACAAAAGCTGGTAACAAACCTGTGAATATCTGTGAATTAAATTGAATTAATACATTTGCATATATAATAAAATCCTACAGAGGATCACAGTGGAATGGCAGCGGATTAATTTCCACCCCGAAGTACGTTTAGTATTGTAATTTAGTTCGAGGTGTAAATTAATCCACCGGAATTTCATTGGGAAAGAAGTCATGTAGTGAGATTCTCGAGTGTAGTTGTTACCAAACTCTTCCTCCTAAAGTATTATAGCATGATGTGTTTGAACATTGCAATATGTGCTAGGCCTAGGTTTCGACTTGACCCTGGCAGCCCCAAGTCACTCAGGAAGAGAATCAGAACCAGGAAAGAAATCGGAGGAACTTGTATCAGATCAACATAGTCATATACTTCTTGTAGCCTTGGGTTCTACATGGTTCTACCTTCCCTACCACCGTTAGTGATGGAGGTGTTCTCCTTTACCGCCTCAGATAGTAAGGTTTGCTAGGTTATGCCAATGATTTTCTTTGGCTTGGTTGTTTTCTTTTGGATCTTCTCCGGATCCCTTGAAGGAAATAGACCTGTCTACCGTCTACCCATTGAGCCAGGGTCTCTCCCTAATCATACCAGGACCCTCCAAGGGGTGTCTATTTATAGCCCCTGAGAGCTGTGATTCGGGGTGTCCATGTCTCCCACCCCTTGAGGGTCCTGGCTTGCACCGATCTCCCGGGTCTTCCGCGGCGTCCCTTCCAGGTGGCTTGGCCTGCTCAAGACGACCAAGACGACCGCCTGTGGCCGCAGCCGCTTTGCTCGCTGAAGACGCCCTCCGGCGCGGGCGGGCGGATGGGTTGGGGCGGATCGGTTTGGGTGCACCAACCCAAGACCTTAGCACGTAGGTCCTAGGTCTTGCATGGCCTCCGGCGTCACTTTCTTGGGAATGTGCGGCCACATGCGGATAGGAGATAGGAGCTTCAAGGCCAAGTGGCCTGCTTGAACCACAATGTTGATGCTCAAGACATTTCAAGACCAGGGTGGGAGACTGTGGATGTGTTACCATTGACCTGATGAATAGGACAATTATGGGACATTCATGAGGTTTTGGACTGGATGTTGTTGAGAACCCTGGATGTTGCCACATTGATGGCATAGATGACTCCCAACGTCCAGTTGTGTGTGGTTTGTATATGATTTACCTGCTCTTTTGCTTCATTTGCTGTGTGGCTTCAGGCGTTTGAAATATATATATATATATTCGAGAAGACTCTCTGAACATCTCTGCCCCAACAGGTCTCACCACTAGGTCTAACGAGGGACTCTGGGGGGGACATGCGCACTGTGGATGCATGCGCATGCGCGATGTCGGTTCGATTCATGCGCAGGCTTGAGCCATTGTGGGATATCTCCGTCTTTACCATTTGTGTGCGTAAAAAAGAGAGCACCGAAGGGACCACCTGGGGGTGGGCCATGCCGTGTTTACATTGGGCACCATTGGGCCATGGAGTATGAGGCTGCAAACCCGTTGACATGCCGTGTCAGAATTCGCTTCGCACCACACGTTGACATGGCTGCCGGCAGTGCTTCCAACAATCTTCTCTTCGTCGTTTTTCACTTCGAACATCTTCGAACAAGCTGCAGGCCTCGCTTAAGACGCACCTTCTCTCCCCTTGGAGTTCTACAAGCGCCACACCGGTGCGAGGCACTTTGGCTCGATCACTCCAAAGATTGGGTGACATGAGTCGAGACAGCTTGACATAGCAGAGTAGCTTGACGTTGAACAAGGAAGGCAAGACTCAGATGTTGGAACGTTTGGGCGGCTTGTGAGGGGTTTAGGCAGCGTGATTCATGAAGAACACTGTTCCTTGCTATCCAACAGGACCCCTTTTGCCACCGTTCACCAACACCAAAGACTATATATGACCCCATATAGACGGCCAGAAGTCACATGCACTTGGGCTTTCAGTCCCGCGACGCGTGCCTCCGGAACCTCCGGAACCTCCGCGTCGCTCGCGACATGTGACTGCCGACTCGATCGCCCTTGTTTTCCCAACCTGGCCACCCACCATGCATTTGGGTCGCCGTGGCGTCCATCGCGCGACACCATCTCTCTCCACCCGGCGCCATGTCCGGCTGCTCGGGCGAGCGGCGCGAGCCGGAGACCGCGTGCCGCGAGGGTGGGGAGTTGCAGGCGGGACGGATGCGGGTGGTGAAGACACGCGCACAGACCCGAGAGTCCGAGACGGAGGCCCGAAGAGTGGATGGAGGTGGATGGAGAGTGGATGGTATGCACATGTGTGTTCTTATAGACAAGGGGTTTGTACTTGGGGCATGTTGGGTTGTGATCAGACATTGTATTTAGACAGCCCCTGGGGATCCATCACCCAGACGTATGATGAAATCCTGCAACATCGACGGATGAAAAGAGGGGTGATGTCACACAGTCACGGTGGCCAGGTTGCATGGTTGAATCTACTTCTGCGGGTGAACAAGGGACCTATGTCCGGACTCCACACTTCTGCTCCGGTCGCTTGTATGAGTCGATCTGAAGTCCAAGGATGGTGCCGAAAACATCGTTCGCAACGTTCGCAACCAACAAGGAGGATAGGGTGCCGAAACCCTCACGAAGGAGTCCGGGGCCGAACGAACGGGGCGCCCAACGAACGCCGAAACGCCCGGGACTCCGAACCAACTCACCAAGCCTTTGTGACTGGCGCTCGTTCCACCTGACGGCGATGGTCTAGGTACGGTGCCCAGACGTGGTCCTGGACTTTGTCCCTTGGAGACGTGCTCGGGTTGAGGAAACCAACGCGGCAGCGCAGCTGAGCGCAGCTGGCTCGCGCAGATGGGTGGGATGTATGGATGGTTTGGGAAAGATCCAGGTGGAGGATTTTGGGGGATCAAGAGTTGTGGGTGACATGTTTTGGGGCAACCGATGTGGATTGGTCCATGATGGACCTTGAGGATCGGCAGGGGAGTTGTTTGTTTTTTTTCATTTGTTGTCCACCACTCGATTGAGTATAGAGGTATAGATCACGGTTTTCCAAAGTATCTTACTCGCTCAAGATGTCGAGCATGTTCTGTGGCTAGCTAGGTTCGCGGGCCAAAACAGCTTTCTCAAACGCTCTGTGTCCTTTGACTTTGAGACGACTCAAGCACAAGGATGTTGTCACAGAAATTATATACAGACTCTCAAAAGACCCAAACCCACTAGTGATTATGGCGGCAGCCAAAGAAATCAGCATTCTCTGTTTGTTTCCTGATCAACACTCCAGCCTCCTTAGGACTTGGAGCGCCAGAAAGCTCGCAGGAAAGAACGACTTGTTGCGCTTCCCATGGGTACGCGGCCGTCGAATCCACAGCAAAATGCACACTTGGGGGCGGCCCGGCAGCCATGAGTCGGGCCTTTTGGGTCGGGGTTGCGAAAGGTGAGATAGCTCTTAGTATCCTTTGTATCAACGTTGCCCTATCTCTGACTCTTCCCGTTTTGGAGACAAATGCACCGCTAAAACACCGCTCTCGGCAATGTTTTCGGATGAATTGGATTTGCTTTTGGGGCCGGAGTTTGGGCGTTCAAGGACTTTATATGGATACTGATATGTGGTGGATTATGACTTCCAGGTCAGGTAAAATGAGTCATTGGAAGTTCTCTGTATGAACAGGACAGTTCATTGGCATCATTAATTCATGACCCTCAAGGGTCCACACCACCTTGATCTACCAAGTCCAAGGACTCCCTGTTTCTTTTTCCACGCCTTCTTTTCGTCCAGGTGAAAAACAACAAAACCAACCTATAAAAACATACAAAAGCCAACCTCAATGGTCACCCATGGGTCACTACCCCCCTGGTCACCCTTCGTTTCACCGGCACGTTCGTTCCAAGGCACCGTTCGCCTACGACCCGGCGCTGGATGCTGATGAGGCGACGAACCGCGCCGACACGAAAGCGAAGATCCATGCGGTGCCTGAGCGAAGGGAGGACGAAGAGGTCGCTGTTGATGAGGTCCGCCAAGGTGGTTTTGCTTCGGGGTTGGGATTTTTAGATGTTTTTGGCTGTATTGTCAGAGGTTAGTTTTTTCTCTTGTTCAAGACCAGTTTCTCCAATTACTATATAGACTAGGTCAGTTAGTTGGCCAAGTGTCTCAATACTTCTCGTTCTCATCAAAAATCATCACAGCCTTGGACATGCCACATCCATCATCAGCTGAAAACACCAGATGAAAAGGCTGGAAGGCTGGGTCCCGTTTCCAATGAATTAGCACGCACACAAAGAGGATGTCCCGCAGGAACATCCTCCAGGAAGAATCTACAAAGTAAGGAAGATCTACACTGACTGGAATAATCATGCACTTGGCAAAGGCCCTTGGATGATCATGTTCTAGGGAGTGCTGTGTACTATGTTTGGAGGCGGCCTAAAAATGCGGCCCAACATATAGACTGGAAAAACCTACAGTATGTATTGGATTGATGGAAGTTCTGATCCTTCAGGGTTTCTAAGTGTGTTTGGCAGGTTGCTTCTCTGGCCTGACAGTTTTTAGCGCCAAAAAAGAGTGTCAGAGGGACACAGAGATGGCCCAAGATGAATCCAAAGCGCTGCACTTCACTGTTGAAGCAGCATGAGTCTAAGTATTTACCATCATTTACCTCTTCTTGTTACTTGATGCATCCTAACGGTCCTAACATCCTAACCCTTCAGTTTTTGAAGGAAGAGCATTCTGTGTTCCCAGCAGCTTCCATGCCCGTGTTCCAAAGTGGCTGAGGACCTCACGAAACGTGGCTATTTTGTGGTGTCTGCGTTGCGGCATGGCTTCGACTTCGTGGCTCCTTCGCAGGGAGAGGGGATGATGACTCATGATGGGCTTGTCTTTGGGGCAAATCCAACGTTGGAATGACCCAAAAAGGCAGACGTCGTTTGAAGGACCTTCGAACGTTTGAGTTTGGGAAAGATGGGAAGACCTGAGTGAGGACTGTTCACCACTTTTTGGCACCTATAGACCTGTCGCAGAACTCCCTCGCCAATGGACCAAAAAAGGGGCGCTTTTCGAGAGGAATTGGCACCAACTCACCAACTCGGGCGGGGTTTTCGGGTGTTTCGGGAAGAATGGATCCGATTTGCTTCGCTGGGTCGAGACCGAGGCTGCTTGCGAGCCTGATGATGAGCCTGTTCCGCCCGAGTCGCCGGAACCGAATCACGTTCCCACAGCGCAAGCATTATATTACCTGGACCTTAAAGGGATGTCCAATGGAGGTCCCTTAGTAGTGTAGGGACTTCCATTGGTGACCCTTTTGAAGGTGCTGGTAGTAATAAATTAGTAATAATCTGATGATAAGGGCACTTCCTTCAGTGACCTTCTGCCAGAAAAAGAAAGAGAACCCGCTCCTCAAAGTGCAACTCCAGGTTCTTGTTGCACCATCAGACACCCATTCCCGTTTTCACCACCATCAGGTGGTCTATGAAGGAGACCCTGTGCGCCACCACGGGAGCTATTTCGTGGCCATCACGGACGAAGCCATTTCTGCCCGGCAGTTGGTGCTTTGGCCACTTGGATCTGATCCGCATGTCGGATCCACCCAGCACAGGGTTCGTCACCGTCGTCAGGGTGGAGTTCGACCGAACGGACTCACCGTTGTCCATCGCACCACTGGGTGGCTGACGGGCGCGGGCACAGACCTGGTCTGAGCCCCGCGTGTGGTGGGGACAGGCCGACCGGAACCATTTAAGCTGCCTCGATCATCGATGGGTTCGGGACTGAAAATGCGACTCCCAGACACTCGGGGCTGGATTTTCTTCACTGACCCCAGGTCAATCAGCCAAATGTATCCAAATTTAGGTCAATGTGCGAGTCCCATGGGTTGCGATGGGTCACCTCAACAAAGGTCAACTAGTAGGTCAACCTTAAAACCCAACTGATGCAGGTGGAACCCATTAAGCCATGGGGTCATGTCATCTTGAACTGCTGCTTACGTGGCTTTAGCCCTGTGATCATCACATGCCATCACCCGCTGAGTGTCTCGAAAAAGGAGGAAACCACCACTCCACTGGCATCCTCATCATCAAGTTAGTTCAGCATTGTTCAACCATTTGTAGTGGAAAAATCTCACCGAGCTCTTCAAATCATCCAAGAATATCCAAGATCTATACCCTGGAAGTCAAAGACGATATAAAGAACGGTCTTTAGGCAAATTGTCTATATACATTGGTGTTTTTGGGACAAATCATATCCCAAAACCAAAAACCAAAAACGAGTTCGGGTCGAGGCACCGTTTGGCTGCCTCGGCTCACAAGTCCGTGCTTCTGGGCCACCTGAAGTCTGACGACACCGTGGGCCCCTTGGAGTGGAGAGGAACCGACACGGACACCTTTGAGGACTCTTTGAGCACGATTCTTGGTCCAGGACACCCGGACCAGGGGTGTCTATTGATAGCCCCTTGGAGGTGATTCGGGGTGTCCATTAACCACCCCTTGTGGGTCCTAGGTGGTTTATTGCATTTTAACATGTTTTTTTATGGTAATTGTTCAGAAGGTTTGGGGTCCCCGGTGTTTTATTTGTTTTAAAAATAATTGTTCCGGTCCCATGGAAGGTTGGGGATCCAGATGCATCTACGGTTATCTCAGAAGAGACACGTTCAACTTGAAGTCTTGCCAAAAAACATGGCTTCACAACGATCTCACGTCCGTTCGACCATCCGTAAAGGAGGTGCCTGAATCCCAAGCTTGCATGGTATACCTATGGATCCACAAGCCACCGGAGGATCAGGTGGCACTTCTGCCGCATCGAGACGTGATCGATGGTCTTTCGAACGACCACGCAGAGACCTGCGTATATATTATATATATTAACTAATATGTGATGTGGTGCTTTTTTCCGGGTCGATCCCCTTGAAAGGGATCAATTTTGTATCCGGTTCCTCAAGCCAATCCCGTCACCATCGGTGACCTGGTGATCGTGTTGTGACCTGCATCTAGAAGGTCTGAACGATACCGACAGACCCGCAGGGTGAAAAAGGCCTTCGAGGGGTGTGACATCGTGTGACATTGCGGCGTAGGAGACCTGGATTCCCGAGGTCGTCCAAATGGCACACTCCGTGTATAGCAGATATTTGAGCGATCACTTGGGGTGCTTTGAGATGATTGGCATACTAAATACATCGAATGGGACGTCGTTGCACCAGTCCTTTCCTCCCCGACACTGCACGGTCGGTGCGCCGTGTGACCCGCCACCGTCGTGTGAGCCGAGGCTATTGGACCATCTCCGGCGAGGAGAGATGAGCGCGGCGCAACACATCGGAGCGCCTGATGTCCACTTCCCATGAGGACATCAGGGAGTCAAAAAAAACTCACTGAGATCATCCACAGTGATGTGATGTGGCATGGCTGGTTGGATGATCATGAAATACGATGAATACCGTGAAGTCCACTTCTATGTTTAGAGGGACGTGTAACTGGGCTTGCTGGGATGGCCGAGAGAACTTCATCCACGTGTTTGGACGTGGATGCAGCACTTAACCACACGTGGATGCAGCACGTGTTGCCCAGACATGGTCCAAACAGAAGCCAAATTTACAAAGCGAAGAAACCAGCGTAAAGAATTGGTGCCAGCTACATCCAGCCACTCTGCCCAGCCACTCTGCCCTTCACTTCTGGCGCCGAATCTTCTAGCGCCATCGAGCGAAAAAGGAGGCGAAAGTAGGCGGATCGGAACTGCTGGGAAATGGAAGACACGTACCAGGATCCCCGTGTCTTTTCGGCGGTGTCTAATGATAGCCAGTCATTTTGGAGGTGTGTCCATTCACCTGACACGGTGCCCATATGTGTCCATTCACCACCTGATGTTTGGACGTGGGTCCTGGTTTGTGAGAAATGTGTGATGTTGATGTGTTCCGACTCGGAAAGGTTCCAACAGGATGCACTATCGATACACTACGAACGGAGGCAGATTCCTTGATGCATTGTTCTATCTTGTATCTACTAGATGACGATAACGATGATCATGATGATGATGATGATGATCATCATCATCATCATCAGGATGGTGATGGTGATGGTCATGGTCATGGTCATGATGAGGCTGATGATGGTGATGGTGGCGGTGCTATTGATGACATTGGCCATCATGGTTATTCGCGGAAGTTCACCATCCCTTTCTCATCCGTTCTCCCCGCCCAAATACCACCAAGAGGTCTTGAGAAACTCGAACTTCACCGTGACTCACTGCGGCTCACCAAAACTTGCAGTGCGGGCGCGAAGTTCGCAAGAGTGAAAGGGCAACACATGGTGGTGATGCGCCTTGGACGGATGTGGTAGCGCCACCCCTGTGAGGGATGTGGCTTCTCCTCAGATCCAGGTCATGTTGTAACCGGAGCAGTGTTGAGTCGGGCGAGTTAGGGTTGAGCGAGAAACCACACGTGTCCCCTCCGGCCTATGGAAGCAACGGCGTGCTACTAGGCAATGTGCAATCCATCTGGTTTTTGTGCTGTAACTGGGAGATGATTTGCATGGCCAATCTTTTCAAAGACCGCAGAACAAAGGCTTGACGTCTCATTTGTCAAAGCTTGACCTCCAATTCAGGATCGTAGCAGCCTGTGTACAAGAAGCCCCTAGCAGCCGGCCAGCAGCCGGGCACATGAAAAAAGACTCCCATGTTCGTCGAGGTCGGAGGTTGGAGGGCCGCCCTACTTCAGTAGGGTTTTGATCTCACAGGCCAAAGCGTCCAACAGACACTGGCGGAAGAAGGCTTCCGTTTTTTTTAAGATTTTTTTTTTTTAAATGAGGTGCTTGATTTCGGTGTGTGGCTGCCGTGAAGAGTTTGGACAGGTCAGTTGGTTGGTTTACCATCATCATCATCATCATCATCATCATCCACTGTTGCTGGTAATGCAATATATATTCCCCAACGAAAGGATATACGTTGACCCCAGGTCAAACGCCGCGAAGTTGGTCAATACACCAGTGGAGTGTTTAATGCTAAAGATCCAATGAGCTGAGACAGTGAGACCCTTCAGTCACCTGTTTGTCACATAAACCAAGGCTCCCAGTGGACTTTCAACAATCTCATCAGATCCAGTTCCCACTATGACTTCCCAAGACAAAACAAGTGTAGACTCGAAAACCATTGTTTCTGCTTCCTATAGTGATCACTGGCATCCACTGGGACCCTAAGAGAGGGTGTTGATCTGGGACCCATTCACAGCTTTGACCGTTGTCTCGCTGGGCATCCACCGTGTTACGACCTTCAGGTCATGACCTGCGGTCGTCATGCCCATCGAATTGGCTCCGGGCTCGGAGGTGAGCCGGCGACCGATGCGTGGGCGGGGTGGAAGCGCGCGGCGGAACGATGTCATGTTGGTTCTCGGGCGGTGAGCTGACCCAATGAATAGAGTGTGCAGTATTTGGGGATCGTTACTTGAATGTATAATTATAGATATAATTATATATAGTGTTTAACTTGACCATTTTGAACTTGTTTGATTGCCACTGCAGGCTTAAGCCTATGTTATCCGACAGGTTAAATTGTTTTTCATTGGAAGGCGGGTGTCACAGTGCTGCTTGACAATGTCCTGTGTCAGGGTTCCATCACATTTCGATTAATAGGGATAATGTTGATAATGTTGACATTTGGATGCTCCAGCATGCTTCAGACACTTCCCAAATATGTTTCGAGTCAAGAGTCTTCTTGAGACCTAGAGTCTAGAGCTCACCAGCGGCATGTTCCATTGGCCTAAGCATGCCTAAGCACTTTCGGATGGTCCACAAGTGTCTCCATCATGTTTGGATGTGTCATCCGCTTTATTTGCTCCATCGATCCATCAGAGCACTTCCTCTTCCGTCTCTTCGACGTCTGGGGCATGACTCTCACTTCGGATGTTCATCGAGGAATCCCTTTTCATGGCCTGCATGGCCTGCAGAGTCGCGCACGGCAAAAAACCCATCTCCGCTCCAGTCGGATGGCTCCCACGATGACACCGCGGTGCTACTGCGGCGGAGAAGAGCTGCGCGGCGCGGCTTGGGCGCAGGGCAGCTGCGGACGATCGTAGGACGGGCGCTGTTGGGTTGGGAAAATGCCGTCGAAATCTGGAGAGATCTGAATCACAGAGAATTTGCCTCGGCTGGGTGCTCTAGAGGTCTTGGGCCACAGTATAACTGCCTTGAATCGGTGATGATGCGTTTATGAGGCAGTGTTCACTGATCTTGTGCAGCACATTGCATGGTTTATTGTATTTCTTTGGAATCGATATTGATAGACTGACATAGGCAACTGTCCCGTCTCTCCACAAAACCTTCCTCACCTGTTCAAAGGTTCAAACAGAACCTCATGGCAAGGCCAACCAAAGAGCTATATATGGGGTGGGCTGTCGAGCTAAAGACAACATCCTAAAGTCCTATAGGGCTTCAACTGAGAAGATGGGACAGGGGTGGGTGCCAGGGGGGTCGAAAACCACCGAACCTGAGGAAATATGGGACAGGATCCCCCTTGGATCTACTCGTCAACACTGAGAAGTTCCAATTCGCAGCGGCCACAGTTGAGTCTTTTCACCACGCTTCCTGCGACGCGCCCAGCTTCTGGCATGGAACCATGCCCTCCTGGCATCTCCTGACACCCTCCCCCATCTCCACCCCCCACAAAACCAGAATATCTTCCCCGTCCGGCCTTCTCGGGCCCTGGGCGGCCTCTTGGCGAAGCGCTGGACAAGACCTCTCGTCAGGAGTCGGGCTTTGTTGTGTCCTATCGATCAGCTCCGTGTTGCTGGTCTCCAAGGCGCGTCCCGCGCACGCCGGCCATCGCCCGCCGGCCATCGCCGGCCGTGGAGATCGACGAGCCCAGACCGCGAGGGGTGACGAGTCGAGAGACAGCGCAGCGAAGTGGCCAGCGACGAAAAGGGACGCTACGAACGGGGCTCCTGGCCTCGGTACGAACGGAGCGATCGAACGCTACGAACGGAGCAAGGCGGGCAGGTGTTCCCGGTGGTGTGAGGTGCTGTGAATCGATCAGTGACGAGCAATAGCTGCGAATCGAGTGTTCTTCAGGGTCTTTCTTTCAGCCTCTTTAGGTTTCCCTCATCTCAGTTTCCACTATCTCATCTTACTCTTTTCATCATCTTCTTCGGCCATTTCAAAAGCACGTTCTCCATTCGGACACGATGTCCGCATCCTTTCCATTCGCACTGGGCACCGCATCCGTCTCCCTCACGCCACTTGCAGTTCGATCCGTCTCCACAGGAAGTGCCTGGCAGTTCCTTGGGATCTGTGCCTATGACCGAGGCCAGAACCGCACGGATCGTGGTGAACACCGGAAGATCTGTCAAATCGCCGACGGACACCGTGGGGATATGTGGGGATCAGGGGTTTGGGGGGCGGAAACTAGAAGGGGTGCGTGTGAGGATCCGCGGCTTCGAAGGTGCAAAAAGAGATCCATGAAGCTTGAGCTGATGGCTGGGAATGGAGGCAGGTTTGGTTTGGAGCACCAATGACTTTGGTTCAACATATCGTCACTGTGAGAAAGACCAACTACGGATAATACCTGTTGCCCAACGTGCATCGAAAAAAGAAGAGCAAGAAACATCGTGGATCAGACATGGGTGGTGTTGCCCCGCAGCTTTGAGCTGGTACAGACATTCCAGAGAAATCCTATCTTCCAGGAGTCACATGTCGGGGTGGTGTTTCGTCCTATCCAGTCGGATGTGACATGGGGCACCCCAACTCCTTCTTCCAAACACCCGACTCTCTGGAACCGCGCCAGACACTAGCTAGGAGGAAGTCGGACTCCCTGGAACTGCAGCTCCAGACACTAGCTAGGTGGAAGTCGGATTGCCCCTCACATGGTACTGGAAGGTCGGAAGTCTGACGTCCAATGCGTCCCAGGCTTCGCCACGCGACGACGGACATGCCGTGGAGGAGGAGGCCAGGGCGGTCAAAGAGTCTTTCCCCGTACGGGATCCGAACCTTCGTACCTTCTCGGACGGTAACTTCGACCTAAACCTACAGAACAGTGTCTCCAATCATCTGCTCAGATGGTATGTGGATCTGTAGGGTTTGGTGCAGTTTTGAGGTCACTTTTCATGAACCCAGCTGACAGAGGTCAGGCCTTTGACATCTTTGACCAGCTTTTCGAGAGTCTGGTCGAGTCTGACCAGCTTTCGAGAGGGACGTACTTGTTACACCCTGGAAGACTGACATAGATAACATAGACCCTGAAAACCACTGGTTGGTATATAGAGGAAGGCAATCTTCCAGTGAGCCATTGTCAGGGTCCATGTTAGTTTTCGGAAAGACCTGAGGTCAACAAAATCATCCAACAAAGGTCAACATGTTTGATACTGTGCCCTCACATACCCTCCACAGATTGGAGGACGCGTTTTGACCTCTCTTGGATAATGGTTGTCGCTGCGATGGATGACCTTTCCCACCGAGGAGGGCGGCTTTAAGGAGAGCGGCGAGCTTCCGCGAAGCGAGGCGTTCGGTTCGGTGAGCCGGTGGGCATCGGTAGAGGTCGAAAGCAAAGAAATGTACTACTTTTGACTTATGACTTACTAATAGCGATGGCCTCCAACCTAGCAGACTCTTGATGATGGAACCCTCCATATCGTGAGGTCGTTCAATCCAAATGAGTGTGTGTTTTTTCATCAAGAGTGCAGTGTACTTGATTGTTTTGGTGCGTTCGTTTTGTTGGGTGCTTCTTTTTCTGCTGTGGTAGATCAGAAGAGGTCAGGTGCGACATGCGATACTAAGTGGTGCGTATGATGTGGACACCAGGCAAGCATGGACCAGTGGACAGGTGCTTGCACGGAAGCTGGAGAAAGTTTAAAGCTGCTTCCTACAAAGCTGAACAAACTGTTGGCAGGCATTTGCGGGTCTTTGTCCGCATCACATGTCCATCAAACTGTCAATCTTCAAGCAATGTCCAATCTTCTTGCAGTGAATTTTTGACGGGATACCAGAAGTCTGATTGGATCTCGAACTAAAGCTGGGTTCAAATTGAATGTTGCACCTAGCAGATGCCTTGTTGAGATGTCAGATCATGCTTGCGGTTTGGAGACCGAAGTCAGAAGCAGCAAGAGGATGCACCAGGGAAGGCATCACATGCACCAGGACCATACCCTCAGCCACTCCCTCAGCCCAGCCGTTGGGAAAAGTGGATAACCTTTTTGGGGGAGTGGGGACACCCCACTAAACAAGAAAAAGGTTAACCGTTAACCTTTTTTTCCAGTGCAACTGATGAAGTCAGTGTTTGGTAAAGAAAATGAAGTTCAGTGGTTTCTTGGAAGCCATGGAAACGGTCTGAAAGACAAACAGTGACGTGTTACAATTTGGAAAAGGCTGGGCTGGTGAGGCCGCGTATTGTCTTCTTCCTAGGGATTCTGATTGAGGTGGTGTGGGGGAGGCTTCAGTAGTGCCGCAAGAAGAACGCCGCTCACAGCTTTAGACGACGAGGGCAGGATCTCATTTGGGGCACACTCCTCAAGGGCAACTTGTCACAGCGAAGCTCAACCCGCCAACCAAGAGTATTGAAGGTACTTCATGTGGTCTTCTGACTTGGCGTGACGCATTTTCAAGTTGACAGTCGATGCGCATATGAATGATTGTCGAGCAAAGAACTGTGTACTCGGCTATTTCGTTTCAGCATCATGGCAGGAAGGATGTCACTGGCAGCAGTGAAGCGGCCGGTTTGCTCCGGCAACGCCTGTTGCTGGTGTTTTCTTTCGGTGCTGTGCCGCTGGTGATTCGCTGGTCTTCTGCAGCAGTTCTGTTTTTGATGGATCGAGTACCTTTATCAAAAAAACGGTGCTGGGATGTGCTTTTGGCGCATGCCTGTGGCGAAGAATGCCTCGCTGAAACAGAGAAATTGGCGAGCCATTGACATGAGTGGATGTTGGTCTGATGAATTTCCTGCAACACCATGAACCTACCCAGGAAAAGGTGGATGATCCGCCCAAGCTTTTGTTGAGAAATGAGGAACAGCCCCACTGGCGACCCAACCTGAGTGTCGGTGGTGATGCCATTCTAAGATATGGTTGGAGAATGTTGGAGAGGTTGAACAGGTGGGAAAAGGCCAGCTAACCTTGTATATATATATATACCATTATATACCAGCACCTTCCAACAGGTCTCCGACATGGAGGCTTTTGCAGACTTGTTCAAGTCGGAACGGTGGTGACCTGTTGGAAGGTGTTTGTTTCAAGGCAAACGGCTCGCTCTGGAGTCAGTGAAATGATGCTGTGCTCTGTCACACGGGGGTCTCAGAGGCAAGGTACGTTTGGCTTCCGAGCATGCTGCTTCAGGGCAATGAAGATTGCCACCAGAGGACACTGCAAGCGACTTTCCACATTAAATGCATATGTTCTATAGATTCTATAGCATTGGGATCCGCGGGTGCCAGCCTTTTGAGCATTCTGCAAGCCTTGCCTTGCCTTGGTTCTTGGTTCCTTGCAGTATTCAATGAATTATGTTGTACCACTAGGATCTCTGAGCAGAAAGCACATAGTGGTCCCCAAATAGAGAGTGGCACGATTGCCAATACATCTTGAAAGGGGCTTCACTTTTCTTTTTATTTTGGGTAAATCTAGTGTGATGACTTGTGTTTCAACACAGTGCCATTGGAATTGGACATTGACATTGAGAATGCTTCTGCTTTGCTGCTGGCACTTGGGTTTGCTTGCTCCGATGGCTTGTGATGGTGTGACGTTTCCCCAGTTCCCCTTTGATATGACTTAAGATGACTTATTTTAAGTATAGTACTGTGGCGGCCATGCTCTCTTGTCTTCAGCGTTTGATTCTATTCCAAACCTTAGTGCTTGACGGTAACTTGAAACAATGGATGTAGAGTGATGAGCAAGTTAGGTCAGATCATGGCGGTCATGGGAAGTTCATGCAGGCCAAAGCCAGTTTCCACTGCACAGTCAGACCATCGACCTCAAAACAAAGGAATGAAACAATCCGCAGGCAGCGCATCGTGAATCGTGTTCCCAAGTCCAACGACATGCTAGTCAGCCAAATAAACTCTATTCAACATCCATTCTTCCCACAGAGTCTGCTCAAAAACACTCTCCCTTGCCCGAAAACGTCCCTCCACCCTTTCAGGCGCCAGATGTGCCAGCTGTGCCACCAGCGCGCATCTCCGAGGGCAGCGACTTTCTGTCTTTGCAAGAAATCCCACCACCCGGCTGCCCCGTGCTTTGCGGGACCTATGTGCCCTGCAAACCAGGCGCCAGCGCGTCAGGGACGCTGGTGAGGAGGGACGTGGGAAGCTGCAGGGAAGGGCGCGGCTACAATTCTGGCTCCCTTACATAGAAGTGGAACATGGTCCAATCGAAGACTACTTTCCTCTACAAACAGCCTGAGTCGGAGTACAATGGACCAACCCCCGTCGGCGTTTTTGGGAGACCCGAGGTGATGGACAACCCCAAGATACCCCAAGGGTCCGTCCTGGTAGCAATGGCCTCCAGCCTAGTAGCGATGGCCTCCAGCCTAGTAGTTAATGTAGTTATGATATGTTATGATAATGTTATGTTGTTGTTGCATGTTGAAGAAGTTTCTCGCAACTGGACGGCCTTCGATGTTCACATTTGTGCACCAGCGACTCGGTTTTGGCTGCTGGCCCTTTGCTGCTTGTCCGGGTTTTGCTGCTTGGCAGCCGTGCAGAACTTCTACAATGACATAGAATGGATACGCCTTAGCCTTAACCTTTATGATATAAGCAGCTATAATATAATATATATGTAGTTAGACACCCCAACCAGGGGGCCGGCATGTCGGTGTTTCGTTTGCATGTCTCGTTTTCGTGTACTTCCCGCTTTTTAGGCCTCACGAAGGGGACGACCACCACCATCAGCTCGACGACCTACACCAGTACCACGCACCTTGGAACGGTGACCGTCTCGGTGGAATGAGACGAGAAAGAAAACGGCCAAAGAGTTTTTGCCAGCAGTCACAAGGTAAGGGGTGCTATCCATGGAGGTTAGGGCTGCACAGAACATCCGCTCACTGGATGGGACTAAAAACCGCCCCGTCTTGTGACTCCGGGTATCCTGGTACTTATAACATTGTGGTGGTTTTAAGACTTTTGAAGGGAGAAGATGCCGACCAAACGATCAACTCAATCGGAGTTACTTGTCCGACTTTTCGACTTGTCCGAAGTCACTCGAAGTCACAACTGTCGCGGTTGTCAACGCGGAGTGTTTCAAAAAATCCCATCCATGGAATTTCTGCGGTCAAGCGGATCTTTTTCTCTCTCTGAGATCAGGGTGATAGATAGAGGGAGGGAGGGAGGGAGGGAGTTCACCACCTGTTTGGTCTTAACATCAATCGGACCATGCTCCGAGGACGTGGAAGTGTCCGGACCACTGAGTCGTCCGGATTTTCGAACGTTCGAGCGCCCTGAAAGAGCGATTCCCGGGGGTCGCCATTTCGGACTCCGTTCGAAAGGAAGGGGTCTTGTGAACTATGTGGGGGCTCTCCTATTATAATATGGTATAATATATTATCATATAATACTAAATGAGGTCCTTATCCTATTATATCCTATTATAATATTGCTCACTCCCACTTCCCCCTTCGCGGGAGTGCTGGTGTCGGCGGGTTTTGGGCTTTTGCCTCTCGCGTGGCCCCGTCAGCAGTGCTGGGTTTTTCCACGCGTGGCTGTTGATTGGTGTGCTTTTGGCACGTCAGTCGCCCTTTGTAGACTTCACTGACATTCGACTTTCGATTGTCATATTTGTGGGGTCATGTCATAATACTAAATGAGGTCCTTCTTTTATAATATTAGATGCTGTGCCGAAACCTTAGTTCTCTCCGAGGACCAGCTCAAGCAGCTCGAGCAGTAGCAGCAGTAGCAGCAGCAAATCGAGCACCTCCAGCTCCAGTCGCTCGAGCACGACAAGCACGACGCGACTCGCCGAAGCAGCGGTGACGCCGTAGCGACGTGTCACGACGTACCACGACGTGCCCTTTCCAGCAGTGAGCCGGTTCACTTTGGGGTCAAGAAGGGGGATGTCTTCAATCATTGAGATGTCTTCAGGTTGGTGTTCTGGCGTTTTGGCAGTATATTTTTCAAACATACTGGGCACTATATAGTAGCGTATGACAGTGTTGTTCGGCTCCAGGACGGCCTTAACAATACTTAAATTGATGGCTATGGGTTTTTGGAACAGCCAAGTCTTGGAACCGTGTTGAGCCATTTTTCATGCAAAGCTTTGACCCGACATTCGGATGTGAAAGCACCGCGGATTGAGCGGGTGAGTCACTCCATCGGTTCTGACATCCGTTCGAGCGGTGAGCCTTGTAGAATCTTGACACATCCATCAATACCCAGACACTCCCGTGGGACTGACATATGCTGAATGTGCTGTGCCCATGGACTTGTTTTTTGTCGTGATGCGTGCCTAACCGTGTGCAAACCTCTGACATGAAGCAGTGTGCGCAGTGACTTGTGGATGTTCTTACCTGATGTGAACTGATCTGAATGTACTGTGCCCATTGATTTCTCTTCTTGCAAGACATGCCTAGACACGTGCCAAAGTAGAGTGCCATAGGGCAACTGCCAAGTATTTACGTATGACAATCATTGACAATCACCGTTCACAATTCCCCTATAGAATGAGTGATCTTGGGTACTGTACCAGAATTCTAACGGGGATATATGACATATTTACATCCATTGGGGTGGATGACCTGGGGTCGGCACCGCCTCCATTCCAGTCTCTCCCAGATGCGCCCAGTCTCTTGGGTCGTGTGTTTTAGGATCACCACGTCCTCCACCAGCGTGACCGAGACCTCCACCACGGCCCCTTGGGGACGAGCGCTGGTCTACCCACTGGGCTGGTGAAACCCGAACAAGAAGCAATCAAACGAACCGGCAATAATGGTTCTTTACCCAACACCATCCAACACCCACTTCTAGCGCTAGAAGAGTGTCTCACCTTTTGTGTCAAAGCTTTTCTTGAACCTTTTAGTTTAACACTTCTGCATACTTTTAGCACCTGGAGGCAACCTGCATGCATGGACTTTGAACTACTGTAAGATTTTCCTGTTGGGTTTGCTTTTGGGTTCCAACTCGTGGATCATTTTTGCGCCGTGGAGTCTGGGGATGGTGACATCAAGTGATCCTGTGTTTGAGCATGTTGAATGTCAAGACTTGGTGAGCCAGGTTGATGTTGCTTCAGTTTCATTGCTTGGCACCAATCAAGATGAATGCTAATTCGGATGCAGATGAGAGTTTTTGCATATAGGGCTTTTGAACTGGAAAGCATTTTTCCTGAGCGTCTAACTGGAAGGAACGTTCACCTTCTAAGCGGACGATTCAAACTCCTGGTTTACTTGGCTCTGTATGCCAACAGGCATACCGCATCAGAACTGCTCTCCTGCTCTCCGGGTGGGCTGAGCCAGCCTGCCCTCATTGGAACAAAAGAAACAGACACATCTAGAAACAAGTCTCGGAATGTCATTTCCATCTCGATGATTCGTCTCCGCGTCGTGGCCGGGTTGATGTTTCCTTCCTTCGCCGAAATCAAAAGGTCGGTCTTCATCATCATCTTCCCACGTTGGACAGGTCGGTCAGGTCAACCGAGATGGTTCGACGAAGAGCTTCCTCTCTCCTCTCTCAGTCGACGACCACCACGACCAGCACCACCACGACGTCCCCAACCTCCACCAGTAGCACCGCCTTGGCCCAAGTAGGGCACCGGGAGGGCAGAACAACGACCCGGTCCGGCACGGTGGGGGGGAGCGGTGTGGGGGAGCGGCGGGGGAGAGAGCGAACTCTGGATCCATGATCAGAAGGAGGATCAATTCTCCTTCTGGCCTACCAGTTCCCTTTTTTTTCCAAGCTTTTTGGAGGATGCCATGGGGAAGAACCTGACATGACCCCAGTCATATCCATGCTTCAGAGCGAAAAAATAACTAGCAGTACAAAAAGAATCCAGGAAAGAGGCGTCAGAGACCCAAGGATATCTTGAATCTTGGATGAATGATATGATCCTAGACAACACCATGGCAACTTCCAGGAGTGTCCTGGACGTTTTGACACCAAGCACCATATGGCTCAACTAGTAGAAGTAGTAGCATCATGTAGCACACAATTATGACATTGATATAAATCTACATAATATATATATATAATATTAATATATGTGATTAATATGTGTACATGCATGTATAATTAGATAATATAATATATACATACACAAGTAACGAAAAAAACACATCTTTGAATAGATCACCTTTTGGGTCTTCCGATTTTTGGGACACCGAAGTGTTTCCGCACGGCTCCTCCACTCCCTCGGTGGATCAGTGCGGATCCAACCTGCTCAGTCATCGAGTTCCACCAGCACGTCGACCAGCGCCACCACCAGCAGCACGTCCAGCAGCAGCAAGACCAGCCACTCGGAGGGTGGAGCAGGGTGGAGCAGGCCATGGGTTTCACCGAAGAAACCGGTCTTAGTGTCCCAAGTCTGGTGTCTTACAGTCCGACTCACGAAACAGGGGGCGTATTCCACTTCCGGAGAAGAGGCCCGACCCGGGACCGGTGATTGAAAACTCTGCGAAATGAAGCACGGGGAGGGGTGAAGAACACCAAAACCTTCACCAAAACGGGTCATTGATGAGATAGGCTAGGTAGGCTATAGGTATCTTCGTGTTTTGAATCCACCATGTCTCGCGGAATGTTCCGGAACACATGGTACAAGAGAATTTGGGCCATCTTGAGACCAACCTTCCCAATATTTGGAAGGAAAGAGGTTGGGCTGAGACGTAGTAAGCGAAGCAGTCGCACACCTTTTCAAGGGATGAGCGGTCAAGACGAAGTCATATGTTCTTTGTTTTAATCGTGCTAATGTTGCAATTTATGTTCTCTTTCAACACATTGAGATAGATCAAGTGTTTGGTTTGGTTTTGAAGCTCTATGGGCTCAGCATTAGCATCGAAAGGAACTTCTTGTGCCAGACTCCACTGTTGCCACGTGGCCGGAAACAAGCTCGAGTCAGCACGAGACTCCGCCACTAACACCGCCTCCCGTTGCACCGGTTCCACGTTATACACAGTAGTAAGCACCCGCAAACAACAGGTATATAGATTGCCCCGATGTTTCCTCAAGTCTGAGTCCACTGTTCCATCCGATTGGCTGGTCTTGATCACAGCTCGAAAACACAAAAACAGAGGAAACAGCAATCAACCCTTTGAGATTATAAGATCCATGAGAGTATCAATCTACATGATCATGAGAGTATGTGCAATGAGTGGTGTAAATACAACATCAAACCACTCCAACAGGTCACCACCCACCACGGTTATGTGTCCAAAAGCCATTCTAGAGCAGACCTGTAGAGTCGGGTAGGAGGGCATACGTGGCAACATGGGTCCTAGCCTTCCACGCCTAAAAGAAAGGTTCACCCGGTTTTAGTAATCCAAAATCCTTATAAAGTACATACCTATGGTCCATGGTTGTTTCGTTTTCAGTTTTCAGGAACATCATCAAACTAATTGTTTGGTGGAATCCCAGGGTAGATGCATGAGTAGATTCGCGTGTGATATATATAATACACCTCTGATGGGATCTCACCACCTGTGACATTGGCAGCACATGGGAGGCAGTAGCACAACCAGCACGACCACCAGCACCACTACAACCACGCCCTTCATATGTCGAATCTTGGATCAGAAAGGAGGCACACCAGTTCAGTCTGCCAGCACTACCTGACGTTATAGGCTGGTTATAGGCGCCCCCCTGACTCACGTATTTTCCATCAAATTAATACCCCAAATGGATCGAAATGGATGGTTCTGGTGTGTGTGTGTGACACATGTGCTGTCGATGACCATTTTCTTTCGAGGAGGCACGTTGGTGAGATTTGCTCAATTGTTTGCCGTTCAGCTACATCGGCCGATGAGTTCTTTTTCTTCGGCTGCGTTCTTTGGTCACAGCATTTCTGGAACTTCCCTTCACTCCGATCAAGTCCAGAGTTTTCACCATGGGTGTGGATCCATGTGGATCCTCCAGGCACTTCTCTTGGGCTCGTGTTGTCGGTCCTCCGGTTTGCCCGTGGACCGATGTCCGCTCCGAACGGCTCGCAGGCTGGAACTCCCAAACATGGCGTTGATAGTGGAATATGCGAAAGAAACCGTGGATCCATTCCCTAGGGATCCAAACACCTTCTCAGAAGGTGATTGGAGACACTGTTATGTAGGTGTGGAGGGTCCAATTACCTTCTGAGAATGTACTTGGATCCCCAGAGGGATTCTCAGGGTCTTGCAGGAAAATATCTCGGAAATCGGGTTCATGGGTCGAGTTCGTCGACTGAGTGGACGAGTGAGTCGATGCTGATCAAGATCCTCCCCCTACCGGTTGTTTGAGCCTCCATCCATATAAATGAAAGGAATAGATGAACGAGGTGTCCGAAGTGTTGACGTTGCGTCTCAGGAGATGGGTGCCAAATACCGCTGCACTTCGTGGATGACAATTTCTGTGACTTGGGCATCCAGCTGGGGCATGGCGGGTCGTCCGCCATTCAAACGTCATCAGCATGGGACCGACCAAAAGCCACATGCAAGGATACACGTGAAAAGACCTTGCTGCTGATTCCAGACCCCACAAACTCCAAAACTGTTCAGATTCCCACGGCCCAGCTGCCCATCTACGCACCGGCCATGGGCTGGCCGGCGCAGGGCGGAGGGGGGACGGCCGTGGCCCAGGCGACTGCAGCGATTGCGGAGACGAGAGCGCCTGGACCTGTTTGACCTGCGGCCTCCCTCCGCCACCCACGGGCCAAGCGGCGGCGATCGGCATCGCCACAGGCGGGGAGCAAAAACTGCGGGAGCGACCCGCGGGCGGCATCGAAGGAAAGGGAGGCCGGCGAAAGTTCGGAGGTAGGACCGTAGGGGGCTTCTACGGTTCCATTTGGGCCTGGGGGGGTCTTATTAATTATTATTAATTCAACAGTCAAGATCAAGAGATTTTTCACTCAAGGTGGAAGACACATGAAGGGTGCCAAGGAGAGATCTAGCCGCACCCTATTGTTCATTCTTGCTTTTCTCGGTTGAAGGAGACTGGTCCAGGTAAAACTTGGCTCTTAGATCTGTAGGGTATGGTGACACACACTGGCGGGGCCTTGGCTGAATGGAAGTCCAAAAGAATGCTGTAGGTAGCTGCTCCCTGGCTGTAGGCCTGACAATAGGGCTGACTAGAGCCTGCCAGGGGCCAGGGGAATGAATGATGCTGAGGAAGGATGGTTTGAAGAGAACATTGAATGATGCAAGGTGGGTTGTTGGACATTCACAGGCGAGTTTGTTTTCTTGTGACCGTTCAGGGTCTTTTTTTGCCAGCCGATTTCGCTGTGGAATTGTTCGTCGTCAACACGGAGGTGGAGGAAGTGGCCCAAGGAATTGGTGACTTCAAGGCACGCTCCATTGAACGTTGAGGAGATGCTCCATTTTCGAAGGGATCGGCACGAATTTCCCTAGACGGAGTGACGGTTTGTGATGGTTTGGTTTCAGCTTCTGCCCCCCCCCCAACACTGTAACCAATGATTCGTCCCGCCCACTGGAGCAGCCTGGCACAGGTGGGGTCCGTCGTCCGGACCGGCCATGGTCGGTCGGAGCGGCGAGTTCAGGTGTCTCCATGGGTGCGGCCATTGGTGACTGGGCGGTCATAAGACGAAAGCACGGTCATAAGAAGAGAAGCGAAAAGACGAAAGCACGTTGATCAGTCGCTGTTGGTTGTTTCTATTGGTTTTCGGACGACCTCTTGTGAATCATGGGTGTAGACTCGACCTCTTGTTTGGGGATTCATGTCTAAACAAGACATGGATGACTCCGATGTATCTTTGGATGAGTCGGCAAGCACATAAAATGATTTCTCAGGTTGTTACATGTTCTCATCAAAGGCGTGAAGACACTGGCATGGCATCGATAGTCCAGTCATTCGGGGATCACAAGTCTTTTGGTTTGGAGAAGACTCTACTGTTTTTTTGTGTGAGCTTACCGGACTTTCAATCGCTCGCTCCACAGTCGAGCCATGACTGGGGTCAAGCCTGCAGTGTATAGAAATACTTGACATGGTGCTGTTTTATTTTCCAATGAATAAGTTTAACCTTGAACCCAATGAGAACATTTATATACACATCAGCATGCTCCTTTGACTTCCTGCCCAAAACAGTCGCGCCCAGAAAGCTGCTCGGGAAAGGCCAGACCAAAAAACGGCGCATTCAAAATGCTTCCAGGACTCAGAAAATCTTCATCATTCTTGCCCAACCCTCCAGATTTTGTATCAAAGGATTGTCTCTTCATGAATTCAGATGTCTGCAAATAGCAAGCAATTCATTCCTCCGAACCACCACTCTGCCAGTTCCCCCATCTCAGATGTCTCACCCCACCACATTCTGTCTCCCACCCGGCTCCGTCCGTTCTCGGTTCCGTTCTCGGTTTCGTTCCCAAGCGGAGCGGTGAACCGGAACGAAGCTCCGAGGCATCGCCTTGGGGGTTGGCTTGGGCCTCTCCAGTGGCCTCGCCGCCATCTTCATCGCCACAGGTTGGGAAGACGAAGACGGGAGCCGGGGAGTAGACGAACATCAGACCCAACATATTAGATATAGATATAGTGAGTAAGTGTCCTTGCATTTAGGTGTATACCTCTTTATATTCAGGTTTCACCCTTTCCCCAAGCACATTGAGATCAAACCTTTTGTCAGCAGCATGTCGAAGTAATTTACTTGCCATGTTTGCAATGCTCATGAAATGTTTGGGTCGCCCCCTCTCACTGGATCACCAAGCCTGGCAGCTTGAGAGACAGCTCCAAAAAAACGAGGAGTCCATAGCGGCCATAGCCCGATACGCACAACGCGACAGACCTTCTCTTTATCACCCTTTGTATCGGCACTGCAGGGCCCTGCTAATTAGAAAGGAAAGCCTTGCTCCCCAATCTGTGTTTTAACTTTAAGATCTCCTGCTCAGCTTCTTTCAACCAGGTACCTTTGTAGCAAAGCTTCCGGCAAAGATCATCCACTTCCTCAATTCAAAAGCAATCCGGGAAAAACATCACCAACAAACTTCCAACATGACCCGCAAGTTTCGCTACAAAGGGTGTTTTTATAACGATGCCCACTGATTGCTTCCGGACTTAGCTGGTAGTTCTCGTGCGTCAAGTTTTTAAGAAGTGTGAAGCGATCACAGCTGGAAGAGACATGAACAGCTATGGAAGGAGCCGGAACAACAGTATCCATGGGAGCAACTTGCAAGCCAGCGTTTGTGGAAGACCAACAGCAGAATCTTCAGGGCAGACGCGCTGCCTCTTTCGTTGCCCCTTTCCTCACATTGCTGCTCCAAGAGCTAAAGGTTGTATTATTGGGGCGCGACGTCCATCGAACAACTTACCCTGAACACTAAAGACCAACCACCATCCACCAGCAAAATGATATGGCGATCGAAAAATATTTGAATTAAAATTAGATCATAAGTTGCGATAAGTAGCGCTTGCTTTCATAGACCCGCTGAAGGGCAGCACGTGGAACCTGGATGTCCAGACTGCAGCTATGGAAACAGCGAGTGGAAGTTGTTAAGCAATTTCCATGTGAATTCCAACATGACATGACTGATTAGATCAATGAAAGGGGACACCAACTGATTGCAAGCGTCCACAACACTTCAATGGCGATGTCTTCTTACAAAATGATCGTTTCCAGACCAATACCCCTTGGACCAGTACCCCTTGGTCCTTTAAAATAGCAGAAGACATGCAAAAGCGTCTGCCCTACCAAAGGCTGGCCGCATGAAAGAAACAGGTGCCCAAAGATAGCAGCACTCTGATCCTCGTCTCATCCCTCCTGCACAAGTTATTCCAGATTGGGGCCGCGGCTTTTCGAGAAAGCAACTCAGCACCTAGCTTGGATGAAGTTGGGGTTCAACTCTGCTTTGTTGGAGGACCACTAGCTAGCGGTGTGCCAAAAAGGAGAGACCAAGTCCGAAGCAACGTGGCAGTGACATTCAATCGAATGAGATCCCTGAGAAGAAGAGGCTCAAAATGACGAATGTCCATTAAGGTGATGAGTGATGAATGCTGAATGAGGACCCTGCTTGTTGCAGAACATCTATGTCCCAATTCCCCCAAGTCCCATGAATAAACCTATAATCAACTCATCCATGTTTGTTGACTTGGTCGATCCTCTTCGGTCCAACGAGGTTGGAAGGTTGAGCTCACTGACCGTCAACTGACCGTTCATCCTCCTCCAAGCTCTCTTCATTGCCGCTGTGCTCATCTCCTTCACCTTCGGTGGTCGGTGACGTCTGAGATTGTGATTGGGAGACGCGTGCGCTGACCACTGCTTCTCCTTGGCCACCTTTGCCGGGACCGCCCACCACGGTGTTACTGCTTGTGCTCTTAACACTTTTGCTGGCACCGCCCACCATGGTGCCGACCACCACTGCTTGTGCTGGGCACCGCCCTGGGACCAGGGCCTCGTGGCCTTGCCAGCGGCAGCTTGCTGCTGGTTCTACGTGGATCGAAGCGCTATCGACAGACCGAATGGCCAAGCGGCCGGAGGGGCTTTCTCGGTTCTCTGACCAGTTCGCTCGGACTCGCGCTCCTCCCACCAAGCGAATTCGCTTCGGGCACCTTCGCTGATTTCGCTCCTTTACCTGGCTAAAGGGCACCTGAGATGAACATACCCAGACACGACTAATGGGACTGCCATATATGCCGATCAATTGGGGTGGTGCCAGGGGATCAATTGATAGGCATATATGGCAGTCCCATGGAGTGTTTGGGATATATCAATTAAACTGATTTCATCTCAGTACCTGCTACTACCTGTCAGACTCAGTGAAAAACAGTCGCAGTCAGACGAAAGGGCCTGCTTATTTAGTGCGTGCAGGCTGCAATGAAGGGAATGTGTTTGTGCAAGGTACTGCGGTCATCCCATCTGGTCGCAGCCATAGTTCAACTAACTCAAGGACTGGTCGTCGTCCCCATCTCCAGCTTCAAGGCAGCCAACGTGGCCAAAAGCATGTGCCCACTGGGTTTGAGTAATGAAGACTGGCCGCAACGTGCAGGTCGATGCTTAGCACCACAGGTGTCCGCAGCCGCAGCCGTGTGTGCCCGGCGGAATCAGGAACTCGTCCATGGTGGCACAGGCCTTGTCAATGAGTGCGTCTCGTCTAAGTGATCGTGGAATGAACTGTGAATGAACTGTGTGTGATGAATTGGTGTGGAGGTTGCAATCAATGAAAGAATGCAGTGAAGAGGTCCATGCAGAGTGCAGGTGAATGAATTCAATGGAAATAGACCTGTCTGTGGCAAAATGCCTGCAGTCATTCAATGAACCAATCTTCAATCAATCCCTCCAAATCGTCAATCAATCGCTTCAATATACAACCCTTCAACTCACCCTATTCACCAACTCTCTCCCACTCGCCGTCGCCTCTTCCACGAAGTTCTCCCCAAAGCCTCCAACACCATGATCTGCCTGTGCCGGGGGTGTCAGTGGTCAGGGGGAACTTGGAACCCTCCTTCAAAGCAGGCCCCGCTGGCCTCGCTCCAACTGAGTCAGGGGCATCAGCATCATCTGATCAAAAAGTGGAACGCGTGACTTTTTAAGACCTAAATGTAACGTTATAACACCTGAATGTCATTAAATCAACTTATACGTTATATGGGGCAGACACGTGGTGGCTTTTATACGCAGTCCCCCATCAAATTGAGCCATTCTCGGAACCAGGAATTCTGAGGGACATGTCGTGGGTGCCGACGTGGGTCAGACACTCCTCTTTGAAGGAGAGCGTTGGAGCTTTGCGAAGTAACGAAGGGTTGGATGTTTCCAGTTACTTCGCATTTCTTCGTGACGACGTGTGACGACGTTTGTCGACGTTCTTGGTTCTTTTACCTTGGGAAACCCAAGGTTTTTAGATGTTGTCAGGATGTTTTTAGGATTACTATTTGGTCAATGAGGATTCACAAAAAGACAAAGGCCTTAATCAAAAGGACATATCACATTTTTAGGTGTTTTTTGTTCGGTGGTTGTGCGACCAATTCGCGGTTCTCTTGGCAAACGCTGGCCTGTCGGAGCCTACTTCCTGCGCCTCGAAGTGCTTCATTACGTGGGCCGGGCCCTCCATTACGTGGGGGTGATCAAAATCACTGTTTGAGGCCCTGCATTTGTAAGTCTTCAGAGCCTTTTGTGTTCCTTTCAACAAATGGTGCTTTGGCATACTGAAAGAATGGCCGTTTTCAATAACGCCTCAGGCGACTTCGTCATCAGCGTTCCGGATGCCAAAGCCTTCACGGAGCCTTGATCGATCTTGAATCACAGTGGCCTGTCGTGGCTCTGCAAATGGAAGGGGGTCTTTGGAGAGATTCCACCAATGAGGACCTTCAGTAAGTGACCTCGAATTGGAGTCTCTGTGACCTGGGTTAAACCGACGTCCAGACTTGTGACTGCCCTCAAATCCTGGGAGTCCTCCAGTTCGGTCCGAAAATCCCTATGGATCCACTGCCACTGCCACCTCACAAGGCGTCCTTGGACCCGACAATGGCGCCTACATCAATAGTCTCCCTGCTCACCGTACCTCAGGTTCGGTATGTGGATCCATAGGGATAGTTTGCAATTGTGTTGGTATCCCTTTTTGTGACCCGCTGCTCCACTAAAGTCCGTGACACTATTTGTGACCCGCAGAGTCCATCGGTGTTGTTTGTGTGCCTTGAAAGGCACCAGAAGTGGATGCAGAGTCAATCCGAGAAATCTGTTGACTCAGTCGGCAGTCGGGGTTGATCATAGAAATGCACATTACATGGATTGATTTGTGCTGTCCGCTTTCCATGTTCTTCGGGACGCTCATGGCCGCTCATCGGGACGTGTGAGTCGGTAGAACTACCGTACCATCGATTGTACCGTACCGTGTTGTTGGTCTACCTCTTTTGCCTGATTTTGTGTTTCATGGGTTCATATGAAGTGCTTCCTCACGTTTGAACGCCTTCATAGATTCATAGATGGATGATGATGGATGCTTGGACATCTTTATAAGGTATGATTTCAGCCTACCAACCATCCAATTCAAGGCCATCTCGATGTGCCAAAGTCCAGGATCTGAAGGCCTCCCGTTTTCTCCGCATCCGTCGCGAGGAGAACGAGGATGCAGTGGCCGCGCTCCGGCGGACGGTCGCCAAGCTCGCGGCCGCCCGGCTGCAAAACGGCGGTCCATCGAGGTTTGCTGAGTCTTTTTTCCTGAATAGCCTTGGTGTGGGCTGGTGCCTTATTTGATGGCAATGATGGCTGGGATGGCAATGATCTGGCTCCAGGTATGACTTTAAGTATACTTTAACCCTGGGAGTCCATGACCAAGCTTTTAGTGATGGCCTCTTTCCGGAACTGGCTCCATGTATGACTTTACATTGGGGTGGTTGACCTGGGTGAAAAATGGGGTGCCACTACATTGGAGTGCTTGGGTCAGTCGAAGTGTTTTCCAAACCTGCTTGGTCTTTGTTTCGGTTCCAAGGTTCCACTTCCATGATTGATGGAGTGGCGAATCACAGGACGTCCAACTGGACGCTCTTTGCTTCTTTTTCACCACCTGTTCGGTATTCTGAACATGACCTAACATGGCCATGCCAGCGAGTGTAGCTCCCATTTAGGATCCATTTGACAGAAAGAAGTCCAAATGGCAGACATAGGAGATTGGCAGATAACCAACCCATTGTGACCTCTCCAAACAGCCCATTGACCTCTCTGAAGTTTATCTCAAACCTTGGAATCAAAGTGGATGTTTCCCAGACGGGTGAGACACTGACTCGCCAGATCTTCACTCCGCCAAGAAGCCTTGTCTCAATGAAAACAACAACGGGCCTCCTATGAAATCCAGAATATCCTTCGATCTCCTCCTTCTCCAGTTCTTCTCTTTTGTCGCCGGCGCCACCACTCATTCTACCGGTCACAGCTTCGCTTGTTGCACCGCTCAACTCAGGAGATGGAGGACGACAGCAAAGTCACGTTGATCCTCCCCTGCGACAAAGCCAAGCGCCGCCGTTTGGAGACTTCCGGCAGTTCCTTGCGACGACGTGCCCCGGCGATACACGGTCGGAAGCGAGCTCGACCACAGAAACCACTGGGGTGGTCGAAGACGCCGGCGTCTTCCTAGTCTTTGGGTGCGTGGCGTTAGGTTTACTTATTTCGGAGGGTTGAGGTATGCGAGTGGTAGGCAAAAGGAGGAAGAACTTCTGCAGGTCAACTGATGGTCATAGCATGTTTGGTAGAGACTCAAACAAACTTTTGTTTTCATGGAAGTTAACTCAGCATATCTCAGCTAATAACAAAGGACGCAGCGCTTCAAGACAAGTATGGTGCAGCCGGATCTATAGTACCTCTTTGGAAGGTAGAAGGTACTTGGAGCCCTAGGGTAAGTGATATCCCACAAGAAGCTTAGAAGTGATGGAGCTTGACCAGCTTCCCCAATTCGGTCATTTCCCTGCCACCTTTCGGTTCAAAACCAGGAGAAACCGGAGAAACCACCAGAGATCCTCCAGAGATCCTCCGTTCGGTGGGATTCGGGTTGCGTCTGTATGCGTCTGTAAACCACCTACTCCACATGCCGAAGTGGCCCATTTTCAGCTCCCTGACTTCTTCTTTCAGAGGCAGTTGCATGCTCCAAAATCTGGGAATTGCATCGTATGTTTTCTATAATCACTAGCTAGCGGTCAAGACTGCAATGAATACCAATCTGTGCATGGCAAATGTTCCAGAAACAACTTGACAGCTTGCTACATTGTGGTAAGTGGATGTTTGTTTGTTGGTCCTAGTGATCCTCATGTCGAAGCTTGCAGCTTGTCTAATCACACTGATTGTAGTTCTAGGTCTCCCCCTCCAAAATGCACCAAAGTTATTTGCCCAAAGTTCAAAATCACCAACACGGATCCTTGCTGGTGATGTTTGCATACTATTTTGTCGGATGTCTCCAAACCGTGGTCGACCGCCCTTTCGCTGCTCCAGGTTTGCAGGAGACCTTGGGCGTGTGCTTTTCGATCTCCGTCGAAGGCGAGGAGGCCAGCTCCAATGTGTGTCCCTCGGCTCAGGCAACATGGTCGGTCGACCGAGCTTCACCAACCAACCATAGTGTCCGACCGAGCAAGATCGGGTGTGGAACGCTGTGGATTAAAATAGGGAGACCTCCCAGGCAACGATCCCCTGGAAGAAATAGACCAAAACCCATTGGTTGGGGATCTTCCTATTAAGTTACACACCCGTATGCATGGCTTTTGCTGCTTCGGATTTTCATGGATCCAGCAGTGTTCTTTTGTTTGCCTTTGACAAGCCTGGTTCAGGTTTCTCCAGGATGCTGGTTAGATCATCATCTCCACTGGAAGAAACAGGTGGAAGGACTGTGTAGATTGAAGGACACATGACCTCTTGCTGTTCAATTGATAGATATTGATATCAATATACTGTATCACCGGTCGAGGCTTTCCAAGGAGTTATATATTCATTTGAGTCCTGACCACCTCCTGAGTCCCAACCAGCTATGAAACCAAAAACACAACAATAACTCTAAGCTTGGAATGTTTGACATTGAACGTTTGATACAAATATCATATAATATATATATATATGTGTTATAGAGAGAGAGAGAGGCAAACAGGCATGCATCTGCACCAGCTATCTGTACGACATTCATTATTGTGCTGTTGTTTGTAGCCTGAACAAGGCTCAGGTGTCTTGACTTGCTGCAGATCCAGGGTGAATCCAGCAGTTTCTTTTTGCTACCTGCTACCTGACTAGGCCGTGGAACAAGAAAACCAACCTTGGAGTAGGCAACTGAACTACGCTCAAAGACTGTGGGCTATTCATTCAACTAGTTCAACCAACCAACCAACTAGCTGAAGCAACTGACTGAACCCACTGACCCCAAGAAACAGAAACACATCTCCCCAAATTCCATCAGCGCACCATCTATCAAAAACCTGCGTTTGTCTACTCCACCTCATCCCTCCCCTCCCGCCCTTCCCCCCAAAAAAAGGAACCACCAACTGCCTCCAATACCCGCCCCAACCCAACCTCCGATCTCCGCGCGTGTCCGAGGCCAACGGCTCTCGGGCTTCGGCTCCGAACAGGCGCAGCGACGCTCGGTGGAGCGGAGCGGAGTTCGGCGGGGTGGCATGTGGTTCGTTTTGGAAAGAGGAGAGCTATAATTATGAGGTCATATAGATTGTTTGTTTTTGGTTCTGCAGTGGTTTACTCAATCTGTTCACCTATTATATATAGTTTGCGAGTGCTTTCAGTGAGTGTGTCGCATTGTCCATATACGTGATGTTTCTGGACTTGGTGACTGGACTTGCGAAGATAAGCTTATAAGAAGGTGTCTTGGAAGATAAGAATCTCGGGAGGATATCGATATACGTCATGTGGATTGTCCTTTGTGGGTCGTGATGGGGCTTCGCTCATCGATTGAGATCCGTTTACCTTGGGAGTCCGTTTGAGCCTTTTCAACAATGGTTGACCTGGTGTTGTAGTGTAAAATCCCTAGTAAAACAGTTGGGACCGGGATTCAAGCTTTTATTCTGGTGGGCAATGTTGGGTAGATTTGTTTGAGTCTTGAGGACTGGATTGTTGTTTGATTTTGCCGTTTGCATGTCACCGCCGTTTCGTCGCTTCCTGGTGACGAACAGGGCGGTGGAACGTGACGTGACTCGTATCGTGGGAGAGAAGCAGGGTTCAGCGACCAACTGTTTTCGACCCACCGCTTACGTTGGGGATGTTACGTAGCAGTATGGATAGCAGCTCCGTAGAAGCAGCGTTGTTGAACTGCTTTGAGAATTCACATGTTGCCAGAGATTCAGACTGCAGGAATGCAATCTTCAGCGTCCAAGTGATGTCAACTTGAATAGCACACCACCAACATGACATGTTTGAATATTCACATCAAAGCACCCGAGCTCGACTCCACGAGAAGACAAAAAAGCAATAGTAATAAACAGACGTTACTGGACCCTTATATAGGGTTTATGGAGGTGTTTGGGGTCTGAGATCCGGTTTTTCAGGGACCGGTCGGGCTGGTTTCCTTCGTGTGGGAAGAAAGTCACGTAACTCGCATGGGATCGCAGGCGATTGTTGGAGCTCCCCCGCATGGACATCGAAGGTCTTTGGACCCTCTAGCCCGACCCTCTAAACCAACCCCAAACACCGGGAAGCCCTTTGATCTAAACGACCCTCTAAAACCAACCCTCTCCACATCTGACAAACATCTCACAAGGTCCGCCCGCCCTGGACTTCATGTGCCCTTCGTCTTCGGGGCGTGGACCGAATCGTGGGTTGCTCGGCGCCCAGAAACCGAGGAATCCTGGCAGAAGAGCTGACGAACATCCCCGGCACCGGTGGCGTGGCTCGGCGTGAAGAGCGCTCTACCGCGACGCGCGGTTCGGCACCGCCGCCTGCGAACAAACGTCGACGTATCGCCAGGTCCAAGTCGTCGACAATCGGCGTTGAGATCCTCAGTGACTGGACCGAAGAATGGACGCTGTGACAGGACGATTTGGTCCAAGAAGATGGAAAAAGGACCCTGTGAAATCCATTCCACCGATCTTTCGACCAAACCAAACGGAATGATTATCCCCCTCCGGTCATCCTCGCAGCTGGAAGCCGAGCCCATCCCCTTTCCTCCACTACCTGGGCTGCCAGGTGGACGTGGTCTCCTTTTCGGCATCGCCCAATCCCATCGCGTCCAACCCCAACGAGAACTCTGGGCCAGACGTCCCTTGGATCCGGGTCTTTGGGCTCCACCTCTTGTGAGCGGTGAGCGACAGGTTCCACGGGTTCCACCGCGGCGGTCCCACGTGGCCGCGCAGCGGTCCCACGTGGCCGTCTTGGGGTGCGTGTTGTTTGGTTGGGACGCGGAAGCTTGTGAAGCTGAAAGAAGCTTAAGGGTGTTCGTAATTTTGGGAGATTTGGGCAGCTGGGTGAATGGATGTTGGTCTTGTTCGTTGTATTTATTTGTTTCAAGTTAATGTATGACACCTTCATTGATGGGGGATTCAGTTTTGGCCCCTCATAGTCGCCCCTTAAGATAGGAAAGACAAAAGACGTGATTGGGATCACCAAGCATGTGTGAAACCATCACCCCCACCCAGAGGGAGTCGCTGGTCTTTCCGTTGAAAGACCTCATTTACTGAATCTAATCAATGAGGTTTTCAGGACCTGACTCGATCAGAAGACTGGACCTGTAGGGATTCCCTGTTGGGCGGACTCTCCAGTTCTTGGGTGAGCCGCGACGCGGGGCGGACTCGACCCCGAATCCCGGTGTTGAGAGACCGTCGGAAAGGTAAATGTATAGCACTATTGTATTACGATATTGATTCCATAGACTCCATTAATACATCGATGGATGGTCTGTGTGCGCTTCCTTGTGAGTCGATGGTTTGCTCTCATCACTCGCATCGGCCTTCCACAGGGTCATCGAGTGATGCTCATTCGAAGATCTTGGGGATTCCATCCTCGTCGGCAGTCGTGCGCACTGAGGATTTCTTTGACCCTACACAAGCTGGGGTATCTTTAGGTTGAGCTGTCAGGCCGGGCTGTTCTCCCTTTTTTCGAGCGAACCGCCGTGCCTGGGCAGGGTCCTTCAGCGCGTCCTGGTGATCTCTCGGTTTCCGGGGCATGCCTGGAGTGTCCAGCTTGATGTGAGTGTTTCTTCCACCAGCTTTTGGCCAGGTCGTGTTGAAGCTCAAAGAGCTCTTGCCTCCAACATCCTCCAACCATGGCTGAGCAACCATTTCTGCATATGTTTGCTCATTCTTTACTAAAGTAGTCTATGGCATGCTCTATTTGTTTGTCCAATACGTATTTGGTATACGAGATAGGGGCCCCACATAAACGAGATACTTATTTTGCTGACACTATATAATAGTAGTCTGAACGAGCGTTGCTTCTGAAAGTAGTTTGAAACGAGAGACTGTGACATAACCTCCTACTTAAGTAGTCCAAACCAGATAGGGCCCCCACACACAATCAATAGTCTGTTTGAGTTATAGTGCAATGCATGACGCTCAGGTCAAGTATCTTAGTTTCGTTTGGTCACCAGTACTGGTCACCAGTGACGGACGAAAGCAGGAATTGGGCTGATGGACCAGGACTCATCCGATTTGCTGGAGTTGGTGCCGGACAAGCAACAAAGTCTTAAACCACCCAACTCCCACATCTAGAGCATGAAGTCAACCTTGTGCCAGATTTGATTTTTTGCGTGTGTCTGCACGTATTGAGCAAAGTAAGCCTTCTCATGACTAGGAGGAGTGCCAGAAAGCAATGGAGGTTAGTTCTTCCTGGCTTTCTTGACACAGGTGTTGTACATCAGTTGTCAGTTGACTATGAGTTTATGGAGATGCTTCGACTCCTCGAAGATCTTCGAAGCATCGCCCATTTCCGCCGCCAGCGCCATGTCTTCGCCCGCAGGTCCTCCCTGCATGGCGGGCGTGCGCCCCATCTGTGAGAGCTTTAGGCAAGCTGGTCTTCTGCGTAGTTAGTCGTGGAGCTCAGTGGAGCTCCATGCTTCGGCTCGTCGGGTTCGGCGGCATCACGTCGTCGAGACACGCGAAACACATCGGGTGGACTGTTTAGCCTTGACTCAGAGGTCTTGGTCTGATCGCTGAGCAGGCACGAAAGCATCGTCGTTGAATGTCGGAATCATCACATGGAGTGAAAGCCACCTGTTGGTGAAAAGGGTCCTCCAAAATCGAGGCCATGTTCCTTCCACGCAACCATCATGATTCCAGGCAGTGTATCTCAAACTGTCGTTTCACTGATAATCAAATAGGATGTCTCATCCAAAGGACAGAGAAGAGCACACACTGGGCACATTGGTTCAGAAAACAAAACCATGGCCTAGAACATCTTACATCTTCATACATCTTCATTATAATTGGTCACCTGGCTGGACAACACTACAGATCTGATATAGCTTATAGATCTGATATAGCTGGTCTCCATTAAGACGCCCCCTCCGGTCTCCAACGGAGCGGAAACCGGACCAAACCGTCCGGACGAGGACCCAATAGCGGATGATATGGGACTTCCCCAAGACTTCATGGGACTGAATGTTTACCAATGTTGACCCTCACAACACCCATCATCCGCACATATTCCAGTCCGGCAAGATTGTTATAGTGTCTCCGACACCCATGTGCCGATGGAGCATTCCTTCTGTGCACAGGGCATATCTTGTGCGCTTCCTGTGGTGCGGCCAGTGGAAGGGTTTTCCTGTGAGCTCGCGGAAAAGCCAACAAGTGAGAAATCATTACAGATGATCACTGAAAAACATCAAATCAACTTTAGCAGCTCAGTATAGCAGCTAACGTTGGTGCCAGTATGTCCCAAAGGGTGTTCCGTCCTGATTCCGGGTGAAAAAAGCCCAAAGAGCTGGCTGCTCACGTCCAAGCGGCCTCGGCACTCACCAATGTGTGGGCCTTGGAGAAAACGCACAGGTTGGTAACCGTTCGACACATCGAAGTGGGACCCCCGTGGACCGAAAAAGGGGAGATCCACCATGAAATACTGTAGGGTAGTCCATTGGAGACCTCAAAACTAAGTTGCTGGGTCCTTTTCAGCTGGCTCCAGCGCTGGTGGTTTGTTGAGTGCACGAAGAGTCAACGACTGCCTGCACTGGTCGTTCCCGCCCGCAGGGTTGTTCCTAGGTTGGCCAGTCACTCGATCCGTTGCCTTTCAGACCTCTTGTGGACGTCCTCGATCCGTCCGCCAGTGAACACCTGCACCAGAAGAGACCTACCAGTAGACTCTTGATCAATCAACCCCCCCCATTGGACAAGACAAAACCCTAAACCCTCCATTGGACAAGATGGGCGCCCCAAAGAAGGGCTGAAAAGACGCCATGTTGGCTAGCGGATGCACTTGGTGACCTCCAAAACTCCCAGAAATCCGCCCTGGAAACCTCCTCAGCCTACCTCAGATTCCCTCCCTCCATTCTCAAAAAAAAGAGGTATACGATGTATACGCATACACGACTAGAACCTCACCCCCCTCCAACCCCTTTGGCGAAACCATACTCCAAATCCCACCCCAAGTCATACCACTGATGAAACTCCAAACCCATCGAGCCTATCTTCGGGCCATTCAGCACTCACTTTTGCTTACCCTCCACCCTCACCCCCATCAGCCCTCCATTGAGCACTGCGCTCTCTACACGTGCGCCACCCGGCCGCGCGCCGCGCCAAACACGTGGTGCCGCGTCGCTCATGGCGGCCTGGGCGGATTTGCGGTCCATGCGCTCGCTGCAGTCGCAGTCGAGGTGGGAGGGAAGGTGGGTGGAGCTCCTGGACTGGTGGAGTCTCGGCTGTGTGGCCCAGACATGCCCAGACTGTTCGCGGAAGAAAGTGGTTGGAGGTTCTAAAGCTTCATCGAGCACTGCAGTTCGAGCGCGGCGGGTTTCAGTTCTGCGCTTTTCTGGTGCGTTCGGAGCGCATGCCCAGTTCCAACAGATCAAGAGAGTGGAGATGAGTGGAGTGGAAAGTGCAGAGTCATGAAACGCCAGGGTTTTGTATGATGATACATGATGATACCTGTTTGATTTATGGGCCATGGTTATGTGTTTCCCGAATTCGCAGTGGCACAGTTTAGGGGAGAGTTCTTATATAAGTTCATCCAAGAGGAATGACTGTGAAGCTCCAGATGTTAACTACCGCACCCTACAAAGAACAGAAGCGGGTCAAAATCGTCCCCCAAGGCTAGTTGAGGCTCCATCACCTCTTTCAGCCTTTGAATGCTAGCTGCGCAGCACATGAAATTCGATCTGTATGCAATCCAGCTGTGAATGATGTCCCCATCAATCTCAAAGTCCTGGGGAGCGTCGGGAAGACATAGAAGAGTGCGTGACATGTTGAAATGATTTTTTCAGGGAGAATCTACCATTGACCCCCCAAAACAATCATGTAGACTCTTGAGGACCGTCTTAAGCACCCAATTGAAATGGAACATCCTCTTCATATGGGGGGTTGTTATGGTCTTCAAGAGTCTACATTATATGGGTTTCCTCTATATATATATATATATGCTGGGAGTCAAAGACTATAATAAGAATGGTCTTTAGGGGACCTGATTTCGGGAACTTCCTTTACTTCAGACAGTCAAAATATAGTCCAACTGGACTTCTAGGGTATAGATTGTCCCTTCAACCCAACGTTTGGCACCCGAGATCCAACGGCGTCGCGGAGCCCGGCCTGGACCATCCGGCGCCAGTCCAGGTCGCAGCAGAGGATCCTCAAGTCGCAGGCCAGGGAAGGGGCAGTGATTCATATCAGGACTCACGTCCGGTTGGGATTTCCGATGGCCCAGCCATTTCCGATGGTATTTATAGGTGGTATCACGGAGCACCATGGTTTTCCTATAAGAGTTTTACACTACAAAGCCATGCAGGACAACCGTTTCTTAAATGGCTTGGAAGTCTTTTAGGGGACAGACTGCATATATGACTCGCGATTCTTTTTGGGGGGTTCTTTCTGGAGCGGCATGTATTCCAAGGGAAGTGGAATCATATATGGAGTCATCCAATGAGTGCAGAAGTTACAAAGTGGTGGCTTTTCGGTGTGTTTCCGGCTGAAAAAGCCACGCGACCAACGCGTCTGGCGACGTGACGGTTGTTACTTGCCAGACTTGGCGAGGCCCTGCGTCGGTCGGCATCTGAGTTCCGGTGTGGCTGTGGCTCCTCTGCGGACCAACTTGGCCGATCCGGCCAGTGCCGGCCGAGGCGAAACAGTCCAGTTCCGCTAGCCATCTGGAGATTTTCCGCATGGCATCCTTCATCTCACGCCACTCCTAAACCCTCCATCTCTTCCGTGTGCCTTGCCCATCGCATTCGGCCCGGGCATGGGGGGAAGATGGGGTCCACCGGCGCACGGCCATGGGGTCCACCGGTCGCGATCGTGACACCCGACCTCAGCTAGGCCTCCTTGCAGAAGCGCGTGGCGGGCTCCAACCGTGTCAGCCATGCGGTGAGTGGAGAACGGCCACAGCTCCCGGAGAATGAGGTGCGTGATGGAGTCGATCATGGGTCCGTACCGGGAGAAGCACCCTGCGAAAAGGGGGTGAGGTGGGGTCGTTGGGGTAGCGGGGCTTTCGGATGTCAAATGAAAGGATCAGTAGGTCGTGTAGATCAATGACTGTCGATCAGGGAGGAGCAAATCACCAAACCAAACCCTCTCTTTAGAAGCCCTGTGTTCTGTTGGAGGATCTCCATGTGCTTTCTGGTGGATGATCTCCCGACTCGGTCTCCGTGCCGAGATCTCATCAGGTAGATGTCCTCAGCAGACTCACTCAGGAGGAGAAGCGGAGCTCCACGCGGGCGCGAGCTTCGTGCGGTGGGGCTCTTGGGAAAAGGAATTGAAGAACTCATCATTTGAACAAGTTTGGGAAACACGATCGTTCAAAAAGTCTACACTTGTTTCATGGGTTCGTAATGGTTCGTAACTCTCTCAAATCCATGGCAATGGTCAAAAGAACGGAAAGGTGGTGTTCTTTCGCATTCTTTCGCAAGTGAAGTCTGGGAGAGAGAGGCAGCTAATCCTTCCTTCATGCCGAACTTCCAGTCTCTTCAAGTGAAATCTGGGCAGTTCACACCATGAGTCTGGAGGCTTCCGGTGTGCTTCAACCCTTCAGGACCCTTCAACCCCCTTCAACGCTTTCGAAGACCAGCTGCTGTTCTTCTGTTTTGATTTTTTGACTCGACTTGACGCAGAAGGTGGTGATCATGCACAGGATGGCGAACACACGTTCACAGATCTTTATAGCTGTTGAAGTTCCCACCTGGACAATCCGCAGAGCGCGGCTTTGCTGCACTGGCAGGAGCTCCTAGGCCTCTTGAAGAGCCCCCCGCGCTTGGATGAAGGCCCGTCGCACGACTGGGACTCTCTTTTGTTGAATGTGAAACCATCTGAAACCGAGCCACCAAAGAGCTTTGAGAGTGAAGTGCCACTGGTGGCACAGGCGGTCCTTTCGATGTTGATCAGTCTTCCTTTCACCAGTTCTTGTGTAGAGAGATGTTCGGAACCCACGGCTGCACTGCTGGACGCGGAATCCAGGGCAGGTCACCAAGAAACACTTAGACGCTTGATGAATGAACCCCCCGCATATATGAACGATACGAAATGATAATATGATATGATATGAAATAGATGTTCTACAAAAAAGATGTCGGGGGTGATGATCAAAATTGAACGGTTGGTTGTTTCTCGCAGTCCGCCTTTGAAACCGCTTTGGGAAGATCGTTTTAGGTGGGAATGAAACATCGAAGGTTGGAGATCAGGGAGATGGTCTCTGTGTAGTCAAGTGTATACCAGCATGGAACATGTCAGGTTTTCTTGTTCGGCTTTCAGAATGTAGACACTTGAGTCATTTTTTCTTTCAGATAATGAAACCCACCCATTTTGATGGTAACACCAATGTAGCACCTCTTATCACCTCTTCATTGTGTTTTAAAGACGGTCTGCATCGGTTGCTTTTGGGGCTCTCCATCACCGCTCCAGTCGTCGCTCCGACAAGATGTTTGCCACGTGTGCAGGTGACTACCAAGCGAGGTTGAACCTTTTGAGCCTCTTGGACTTTGTTGGTGGATGAAGCAGAAGAAATCAGAAAACCCAGCCGCTGGATGCCGCTGGCAAGTTCGCCAAACCCGCT